AAGAAGGGTTTTAAGTGTCCTACCAATTTCTAATAACACAGTAATAAAGTTCAGTTGCTCCTTATCGTACTGCAGGAACCCAGCAATTAAGAATAACCAAAGTTCCACGAGAGCACTTAAAGCAGCTGAAGTGCCCTGGATTTTCTACAAGCACCCTCCAGCCGCGGAAGAAGGAGTGCTCACATTTTCTGGCCAGCTGGTACACCTCGTACCGCATGCTCTGGTAGTAGAAGTTGTCGTCCAGGAGGAGGCAGAGCGGCCGTGCTGGGGCCCCGCCGTCCCCCCGCGCCGCCTCCAGCAGCCCTTCCCGGCGGCAGCAGCGCAGGAACCGCTCCCACCCCGGCTGTGCGGGGCCGGGCAGCGGCGCCCCAGTGAGCAGCGCCCGCAGGAGACCCTCCAGGCACTGCAGCAGCTCGCGGCGGCTCTGCTTCCAGCCGGGCACCTGCGGGGGGAGGGAGGGCAGGGATCACGGAGCCGGCACAGCTCCCGCCTGGCCACAAGGGGACCCGCAGCGGCCCCGAACCAGCCTGGGCCCGGTCCTGACCCCAGAGCCATTCTTAGTCCCAGTCTCAGTCCCAGTCCCAGTCCCAGTCCGGGTCCCAATCCCAGTCCCAGTCCTAGACCCAGTCCCGGTCTTGTTCCCGGTCCTAATTCCAGTCCCAGCCCCACCCCTAGTCCAGGTCCCACTCCCAATCCCAAACCAACACCCAGTCCCAGTCGGACGCGTCCCGTTGCCAGGCAACAGCAGTCGCACGGCAATGACGTAACCACACTGACCAATGGGAGCGGCTCCCTCGGGCCCGCCCCCGGCGCGCGCGCGCGGAAGGCCTCGTCCGGGATGAGCTCGTCGTAGTGGAGGAGCGCGCAGGCCCAGCCCGGGCGCTGCCGCAGCCGGCGGCACAGGGCGCGGGCCAGGCTGGACTTGCCGGCCGCGGGGAGCCCGCACAGCAGGCACAGCCCCACCCGGGCGCCGCCGCCGCTCCCGCTCCCCCGCTGCTGCTGCTCCCTCGCCAGCGCTGCCGCCCCCGCTCCCGATCCCGCGGGGCTCTGTGCGCATGCGCCGGGCTGCCGCCACGGGGGCGCCCCCTGGCGGGCGCGGCGCTACAGGGCTCGGCCCACAGAATCGTCCCCTTTCACACAATTCTGGTTTTATCCAGTTTTTCACCCCGTTCTCGCGTCACAATAAACTCAATAATTCGCTTTGGTGGCCCCCAGGAGCGTCAAATGGCTGAGCCCTCCCAGGGTACCCAGCGGTGGCTTTTAAGATCATAAAACAAAGATACCACCGAGTGTGCTGCCCCCGATGACTGAGGTCTAAATTACAGGAATAATTAATAATAAAAATCTTAATTGTTTAAGTTATTTAATTATAATAACAATTTAAGATCCCGAGGGATTAAGGAAGAGGACACTTCTTTGGCAGACACTCATTGCCGGTGCAGATTTTTGCCTGCAATACAATTTGGGTTTTTTTGTCCAGTTCTTCGGTGATGTGGCCATCTGAGGGCTTAGAAATATTTTGTTGGTGAGGCAATTCTATATTTTTTTCACTCTTTTTCCTAGTTCATACTCCCAAATTGGCACGAACACAGCCAGTCTGTTCGTTACTCCTTGTTGGACAGGTGGATCTGTATCCACAGTTTTGTCCTTCCCAGCGAGTTGGTCTCTGCACAGCAGCTGCTTCTCCATTTTGATGGAGACTTTTTTCCTGAGATTTTCTGGATCCCTCTCCTGGATGGAAACATTGGATGGAGACCCATTTGGACAAGCTGTGCCACTCCATACGTTCCATTTTAAATCAGTGGTGGTGTCTTAATTGTCTCATTTAGAATGACAGAAGTTAATCTGTTGCTTTTGTAGTGGACAAAAGCAAAAATCCCGAGCTGTAATAAGCAGTAAACACTGAACCACTGTTGAGTTGTATTTCCCAATATCCCACATTTTCTATAACAGCAGCTGGACAGTTTCTTTCAGACTCAGGCACAGTGTTTCTGGTGTCCCCATATATGAGGTTACTTTTATAAACTACCTGAAATGGAAAGGGACAGAGCTGGTGGTCATGAGAGGGGGGCTCTGGGCCCCAGCTTTGAAGGGCTGATGGCAGGCAGGTCTCAGAGCAGCGCCCAGGGACTGTCCCCAGGGCTGAATAAATCATGTCTGCAAATAAATGAATTCACTTCTCCTTGGCCTGCACCTCAGACTTACACACTGTCACAAGTGTAATCCTATGAGTGTTGAACTTCAGGCTTCTGATTTAAAAACCCAAGAAGTGAGGTAGAGGAGGCACAAACACAGCCAGCAGCAAGTAGCAAAACATTGGGAGTCACCAAATCTGCGTTCAGTGCCTCTTGGCATCCAGTCTTTCCCAGAGGTATGTGCTTCCCAAAGGCATTTTGGCCGCACAAGGAGAGGACTGGAGGATTGAAATCTTGTAATTTGTTTTTTTTTCAGGCCAGTTACTTGTCAGAATTGGTTGAGGGTTCCCAAGAAGCTTTTCAGACTGCTGGTCTAGGTGGGACTGGGGGTCGTTGAGGTCCTGAGGGAACTGCAGGAAATTGGGTTTGTACTGGGTGCCTGAAGCGTGGAAAACACGTTATGTTTAGATTTTCATTACTTGAGAGAACTGGTATTTCTAAACTGGTTCTTCACCATTCTTTAAACAGTTTCTAGCACTTATACATACATTTATACCTAACTCTCTCTGCCCCTTCCTGTAGAATTTTCCTGCATTTATGCTGTTTTCTAAACAATCAGTAAAACAGCATTTCTCCCTCAGGCATTCAATCTATTATAGCTCATGATGCTGCATGAAAAATTCTCCTAAACAGGACACAAGACATCAGGAACTTCATATGCAGTGATACAGCAATGTAAACACAGAGAATGTGAAGAAGGTTTTAAGTGCTACAAACCTTGTACCAGGAAAATGCAATATGGTAAAAATATCAGGACTTGATGTGGCAGGCTGGAAAACACGTTGTAGAAAATCAGGTTAACAGAAAATACGAAGTGTATGCAATTATTCAGTATTAAGATAATGGTATTTAAGAACTAGTTTTCATTTTTGGGGGGACATTCTTCATATTCTCTTGCAACATTTTGTTTTGATAGCTTTTAGCTTCTTGAATCAGAACTAGTTCCACAGCCTGGTTAAGCAGCATTTCCCACTGTTTGGCTGCAGAATTCTTTGTTCAGTCTATGGCTGCTCTGCTGAATCACAGCCTGTCCCATCCCATCCCATCCCATCCCACTCACAGCCTGTGCTGACAGGGCAGGCAATAAAGCTCCTACTTACCCCCACAGAAATCCTCTTCAATACATTCTAAACTATATTAAATACTTGGAAATGCAGGTGGTTTCAATGTATCAAAAAGCCACACAGTCATAAATAATTATGTTAGAGAAAAGGCACTGTAGAGTTTGTATTAACATCCAATAATGCAAGTATGCATCTCTCACCTGATTATTTCTTGTGTCGTGACTCGGTTTGTTATCTTGCTTTGCTTCCTGCACATTGTTATCCCTGAAATAGAAACCATGTGATCAGAAAATTGCTTCAGGGATGCAGCATTTTCAAAGGACAAGGCTACAACTCAGAGGATCTGGATTCTGCTTGTGAGTCCAGCCCTGTCTGGATTTGACAGGCCATTTCACAGTGCTCTGTCCCCATGGGCAATGCAATCAATAACAATTAGGCAAGTGCAATGTTTTTTTGGGAAAAACACCTGAGAACTGACAACTGGAGTATCTGGATTAAATTACTAAATAGCAGGGGACTGAACTACCTGCTACTGCTATTAGCAGGGAAGGCTTGTCTTTTAGGGGGTGTGGAATTCTTTATGTAGATAAAGCATCTACCTGGCTTGCTAAATTAACCTGGAGCCTGCTCTCATGTGTCCAAATAGCACCTGTAAGAAGGGAAATACCTGTGCTGTCTTCTACTCTTCCTGCAAAATTTTCTCCTTATTGCATCCCGCTTAATTATTGCTAATGCAGCAACGATGGCAACTGGCAGCACAAGGAAGAAGAAGATAAGCAGCCCATCCCGAAGTGATGTGTCTAGAGAAAAAAGAATTGAAATAATGAAATTTACAATATTAAAGCATTTTTTTTCTGTTGTAAACACTACAACCTTCAAATTATTTCCAGTTGAAACTTCACTGAAATTTATAAAATGCTACGATCAGAAAAGTAGGATTTGGCCTTATGTTATTACAAGTTCTTTCTGCCTTTAACCCCCCTGTGTTCCATGATATACAAACTTTTTCCTTTTCCATATATTTCTTCAACACACTTGATGATCTTTGTGGGTCCCTTCCAACTCAGAATATTCTGTGACTCTGTGACTTTGTATCTGCTCACCCACAATCACTCTGCACATCCTCTTTGCCTTCCTAAACTTTTAATAAATACAAAACATTTTTTTTCCCTTTCCCAAAACACAAATTTAGTAAAATCTGGTAAAATGTGAATTATTTCTCTCCTCACAAAGCTACAGATTGTGAACTTCGTTTTTAAACAAAGAGGGAAAACATTTTGTGTGTAAAGTGTAAAGCCCAGCAATGCTACTTCATTATCAGATAATAATGTTTGTTCTTCAAGTCCACAACTAAGTGTCTCATGCAGTAGAAAAAAACCAGCTGAAAATAAACTGAAAAAAACCCCTGCTATTAGCAGTTTATTTTATGAGACCCTGGGGCAGAAGGAAGGCCAGTTTCAGTGTCCTACCTGTGTGGGCAGGACCACTGTCAACGCTGCCTCCGTAGCCGGACTGGTTACAGAACGGAGGGGCCCATCCTGCATTGCAGTGGCAGTTCCCGTTGTTGTTACACACCTACACCAGTACAACAGGGATTAATTAGTCAGGCAGTGGCAGTTCCCATTGTTGTAACACACCTACAGCCCTTACACGGGGATTAGTCAAACAGCAACCCCTCTCTGAGAGCGGCCCGGAGCAGGGACCTGGAGTTCCTCGTAAGGAGTTGCGTGAGGAAACAAGGAATACTGCACAGTACTGCATAGAAATACACGAAGTGTTAACTGGAAATAAGCTCTCCTCCTCCATAACATCCGAAATCACTGAGTGGGCCTGATACCTCAGGGGAATTCTCTGTGAAAATTAACATTTGTGTTGTTATTTGCCTCCAATAAATTACAGTCCGAAGAACTCGGTTTTACAGCCTTTGGGACTCCATTTTGATTTTTCACAGAGGCATATATAAATCAGGACTTACTAGACCATCTTCCTCAAAGGAATATTTTCCTTTAGCAACTTAACAGCTCAGTGATAATAAAAAATTCCCTTGGGAGAATCTGAAGAATTGCCTTTCAATGTTAGTGCTAAGAGGTTTGCCCTGGCAACAGGAATTACAGGTAAAAAAGTGGATTTAACTTTTAATACAGATCAGAAAAAAAGCAAAGCCATCTGGCTGGTTGTTGCTTTTATGCAGGGAACTTGAACCAGTCTAGAAACATTAAGCACCATCTACTCACCCCATTATTATTACACTTCTGCTTTACATCACAGTTGTAGCCCAGAAACGTCGCATCAACACATTCGAAACCTACACAGGCCTGGAAGAAGTAATTAGAGTCTTGCAAACACAAAACTAAACAAAAATCCCATCCCTTTATAAATATACTATATAAATGCATATGTTTACAACAAGGCTACAGCTTTCACTTAAATGTCAAGAAAAAGGGGTGATAGAACATTCAGAACTTCACAATTTTATAGCTGTACTTTTAATCACATTTTCTTAACCCTGTGGATGCGGTTTGATGGAATAATTTGAATAACTGATAATGTAGTTGACTGATTTGTAGCATCCCAGTTTTTGCAGAGCTAATTAATTGTTCCTGTAGATTTCAAAAAGCAGGTTTTTCATTGTATTACAGCACACAAACAAGAGAGCTGTGTAATGCCTTTGGAAGTTAAGAACTTTCCACTTGGTGGGATACATTCCATCATGCTGCTGTGATGCCTCTTACCTTGTTTTCTCCACAGGCTGTCCCTTCATGAACTTGAGCAGGATCAGGGATATCTGTCCCTAAGTCAAAGTCAGAAGACCAGCATAAAACCCCAGATGCATTATTGACAACACTCCAGGCAGGAAGGTTTTGGAGACTGACAGATGTGCACTGGAGTTTCCCACACAGACTGTGCCTGTATTGAATGAAGGACACTCAGAGACAAGGTGAACAGAAAAAAACCCAGTATCAGTGAAAATACACCATCCAGTCAAAATTTTTAGCTTGCATTTTGAGGAAATATTCTTTAAATCTCACACTTTAAGGGTTTGTAAGAGCATACATTTTTTACATTGAAGATTTTAGGGTTAGTTTTATTTGCTGGTGACTTACTGGACAGGGCATTTCTTGTACACTCCGCCTTTCATTCCACAGTTTCCAAACCTATCTCCTTTAATATTTGCTTTCTCAAAGCATATATCAGGTGCTTTTCGTGCCCCTGTACAAAAAAAAAAACCCAGTAAATCTTTGTAAGCTGTCTGAAAAACACAAGGAAGAAAAAAGAAAAATTGGAAAAGTCTATCAGGAGACCACCAGTGGTTTTACATTAAATAATAAACATACCTTTCCCATATATAGATTCACACTGTGAATCAAAACTCTGGCATACTCCATAGTAGCAATATGCCTTGTTGTTGCTGCATGGGTGACCATTCATGATGTAAACGTCCTCTGGGCAGTAGGCATTGCTTCCATTGCAGTATTCAGGGAGATCACAGAAATCCCTTTTGGCTCTGCACTCTGCTCCTGCCACTTTAAACTGGAACCAGAGAGGAAAGCCACTGTCAGTTTGCAACATCAGAAGTTCTAGTGTGAAACAATGACAACCTTGAGTGATGTCAAGGGAGACAAATTTCTCTCCTTTCTCAAATTTCAAATGCCCTCTACTGGTGAACGTGGTTTGATGGTGTGAAAATATGTCAAGGGGACTAGATCACCTCTTTTCAAACATTAAAAAAATTCTAGTGAGTCTTATCATTTTTGCTTAACAACGCATTGCCCACCTTGCAATTTTTGCAGCACAGTCCTTGAGCACACTGGGATCCAGGTGTGAGTTTGCAGGTTGCAGCATCACAGCAGGGGTTGGAGCATTCCTGAGGAACAGCCATGGACAAGGGGACACTGGTTTTATCTCCTTACATAGCTAGGAAAGTACATCATCAGTACAAGTGCAAGCCAGACTTTAAATCCCTGTCTCTACCATGTTCTGACAGCCTTCTGCTCTAACAGGAACCAGTGGCTGTGTTTTCCTAGTACAAGTCATCAGGAGAACACCTGGTTTGATGTGTTGTGGCACAGGGATGCCAATGGAACCAGGGGCTGGTGACAGCCTTTTGATTTATTGATGTCTTTTTTGAGACACTTTTATTTTCTGGAGAAAAAGCCAACACATCCCATTCTTTGAGGGACGTTTTGGCAATGCAAATAACGACTCACAAAAGTAATTTAGTGTGGGCAAAGTTTAAGGGTTCCAGTTAAGAAACCTGTATGTGCTCTACAGATAAGTAATCTCTGTCATGTAACAAAAATGTCTTTGCTAAAACCAGCACAAAACCCAGTTGTATTTCCACATACTCTGCTCCAAAATGCACTTCTTTCCCAGCAGTGCCCCAGCATTCTGTGAAGACCAGTAGCCTTTAACTGAGTCCACATTGAATTCAAAGTATGATTTTAAGCTTTAACTAAAATTTATCTTCATATTGATGGCAAAAAAGGAAAATTACAAGGAAAACTCCTCAGGTATATAATGCAATCGTGTATTCCAAAAGGCCACTATTATAGAGAATAATATAATATAATGTAATACAACAAGTCTCCAGTTGAATTTCACCCATTACCTGTGGTTTGCCACAGTCACATTCTTCATTGTTATCAACCACATTATTACCACAGACAGGTTCTCTGTACACATTACTCGTCACGGGAGGATTTCTAAGGCAGTTTCCTCCTCCATTTAGAATAAGAGTCTCAAAATCATCAGCACTGCAGGTGCTGAAATTCCTGGATCCACTGGAAAGCATAATATTTTATTATTGTAAGTATTTTGCTTACAGGAAAATGTACAACTCAAGCTCTTAAAATATTGTCACTCTATAATAAATGTTGCATTTCATAATGCTAGGAGATAATGAGATAGTTAATTTCTACTTTATTTTGCAATGAAGTGCTGTACTAGAAGTTAAAAAATACTATTATAATATAAATACACATACTTTCAGAAGCGAGATTATATGTTCTGGTGTCCTGTATAAAACAGGCCTTAGAAATTCCTTGTCTGTACTGAGTTTAAAAATGTTTAAGTAGAAAGACATTCACCTTAGAGTCCCTAAAAACTCAGGAATTCATCTTCTTATAGTAGTTTTGTCCAGTGTTCTATTACCCTGATTTATTAACACAAATGTGGATAAATAAATAATATGATCTTTTTCTCTTAAGGGGAAGCCAAAGAACAAATGAATCGAAAGAAACATAAGCCAAGAGGTTTTGTTTAAATTAACTGTTAAATATTTGTTGCACATTTGCATGAACCCAGTGAGTATATTTAAAGCATTCTCAGCAGGGTAAAAATAAAACCAGCAACACACTATCATTAAAAAAAAATTATTATAAAATCCAATTAGGTTTTTAAGAATACTACAAATAAAGAATGATTGGATCAGAAAACAGGTGACATTGGAAATAAATTAAATTTATGTGAAATCCTAATTCAGTGAATCCAGCTCTGTGACTAAATTTTTCAAACAACTCCCCATCGCAAAAGTTCTTCAAGATTCAGAGGAGTTTCACAGCTTGTAAGGCACAGTCATGCAAATAAAATAAGTTTCTTAAGACCAAATAACTGGAGATCTTACTTATCTGTGCTGTGCATGATATAGGATGCAGGACACCTCTTATCATCATGTTTCATTCCGAGATTATGCCCCAATTCATGTGCAACCACCGTGGCGTGACGTAACATATTGTCATGATTCAACTAATGGAGAGAATCAGTGTTAAAAAAAGGGTGACACTAAAGAAAACACTGTTTGTACCCAGAGCTTTATTCCTCCCCACCAAGCTCTTGGAGACTGTGAAGTCAGAATACTAAACTGTATCACAAGGCAGAAGCAGCAAGAACAGACAATTTGTCACTTTATTTTCAGGTGGGGGCAGATTCTGCCACTCCTTCTGTTGCTTCCATGAGGATCACATTCTGAATAATAACAGTTGGCAGCTGGACTAGATGACCATTGTAGGTTCCTCCCAGCTGACATTAGTTTATTTATTCTGTTCTAACACAGTTAATCACTCATGAGACTGATTTCAACGGAGTCTTCAATGACAAATGTACTGTTCAAGAACCAAATCTGCTTCTGAGATTGTCCACAGTGTTCTGGCATCCCTATTTTAAGAACAGGAAACTCTCCAACCTCCCCAACGGTGGAGAAAAAAATAGTTTCTTATTAATTTTCCCATATTTGAAATTTTTTCAAGTTTACAGCCTTCCTGTGGGGAATTCCAGACGCTTGGGAATATAGTGCATTATGTTTAGTATTTATTTAAAGAGTAAAAAACCCCACATATCATTCTGTGCTTCGTGTCCATCCCCAAACCACTTTGGTTATGGACTTTAATGTTATGAGGATGGGCTTTTTTATGCAACACTGAGTTAGATGAATTACAAAAGGTGAACAAAAGAATTATTTGAGGAGTAAATCTGCCAAGTGGGCTGGAATTTGACAAAGGGAGAAAGTGAGAAGTACTTAAAAAAAGAAAAAGTTGTAAAATATGCACGAGTCTTTACATCAAAAACCCCATGAAAAAAACCATACAACTTCAAGTCTAGTCTCCAAGACCAGGGTGACTTGGTCAAGGGCTAATTTCTTCCATCACCCACAAAATGATGTACTTACAGTGCTGATTGACCCTCCCTGCACTTGTGAGCAGACAGTACCCACAAAAGCCATTCCAATGGATCCCCTGAAAGAGCCTCTCCCTCTGCAACAAAAGCAGTTTGAAGGTGGGGCTGAAAGATGGGTTGAAAGTTCATGATTTCTACTAAAAGACAACGATGAGTTTGAAAGAAATACTGCAAGGCAAGGTTTGGTCCTCCTGAAGTCAAGAAGAAATTTATCACCACATCAGGATTTCGCTGTAATTAGTAATGAAAATCGGAATAACAGCTTGAAAATAGTGTCAGTGCTTCTGAGTTCACTGAATCACAGCATGGCTGAGCTTGGAAGGGACCTCTGGAGGTCACCTGGTCCAACCCCCTGCCCTGGAGTTGATTAACTCTTGAGAATTCATTATATTTCTTGCCATTTTTCGAGGTTAAAACAGTTTGGAAGTGCAGTGAATTTTACTCCAGCTATATTTTTATTCATATACAACCCCCAAATGATATACATTAACACTGGCAGCATGGCTAGTTTTCCCACTGAATGAAAACTTACATTATGAGATGACTGACATCATTTCTTGATCTCTTAAGAAGATCTTTCTGTCTCCAAGAAACAAATCTACCCAGAACATCCCCAGCTGAACCATCCATTACAGATATGTGGTTTGCATCTGTCCAGATCTCTAATCCAACCAAAACAATCTGGATGTTTAATGGTCTATACATCTGAAAAAAATATAATGATGATAATGAATGTCCATCAGTCTGTTTTGATGGAATTCTGAAAGATGACTTCACTATTACTGAGTAAACACTAAGCTGAACTTAGTGACCAAGACAGAACCTTGGTTTCTTTGAAACTAATGTATATTTGTATTTATAAATTAAAATATAAAACATTTATAAATTATAAAGTAAATAAAATTATTTAGAATATAAAGTTAAATATAACTGAAGAAAATCTACTTTATGAAGATACCTAAACATATGTTTCAGTTGGAGAAGTTGGGAAGACCATGTTCATTCATTTCCTTGGCTAATTGTCTCGAGGAGAAACTGGGAACAGGTGATCAGAGAGCTTATGGAATTGTTCACAGTGCTGACAGTTTTCTTTAAAAAAACTAAAAAACATGAGAAATACTCTTCCTAGAAATGTAAAACATACTGGAGACTGAAGCAGTCAAACCACAGACTTGATTTGAAAACATATCTCTCCCCCTGCTTGCAATTCTACCAGACTTGTGAAGAGATTCGTGATGTGCCTGAACTGTGTTACAGGTTGTTGTATAACTTCCAAATACAGTTTTAGAACTGCATTAGCTGTTCTTTTGGAAACTATGATAAGGTAGAAATTACTCAATCCAGGCAACTTATCTGACCTACCCCATCAACATAATTAATCAGCTCAACAGTTTCCTTTTGCACCGCAGCAGGATCAGAATTCTTCAGCAAAAACTGTAAAACACCACAAGAATGTCAAAGAAAGAAAACTAACAAAATAATAAAATGTATTTAAGGTCAGGTGAAATAATTACCCTCTGGTTATCCACAACCACAAATAATTCTACATAGCTTTTCTGAGGCAGGACAGCTCGCTTCTCCTGCAAATGAGAAAGGACAATAAGCTAACAAGTTCACGGCTTTTTACTTATGTTTCTCATGATTTTTATTTTATGTGTTTATAAAGCAATGTTATAATTGCATTTTCTAATGTGGCTTTAGTTTTCTGTTCTATATACCAGTAATTCACACCAGGTCAGGCACTGGGGTGGGTGAGCTGAATGCCTTTCCTGTCCTACCCACGGCAGTCTTTGCTCTTCCACTGAAGGATTGCTTCAAGCTATGTTAAATTCCTATTGTGGTCTTCTCTTTCAGCATTTCCTTAGCAGTATTCCCACCAGTTTGGCTTGGCATCCATGAAAAGGAAGGCCACAAGGAAGTGGCCTCCAGGTCCAGTGACATTGTGCCAAAGCAAGAGCTCTGGAGGCCCTTGGCTGCTGGAACAGACTGAGGGGATGCCTTGGACTGCAGCTCAACAGAGAAATGGGAATATATTTACCCTCAAAAGCTTCTCCCTGCTAGAGGTAGTGTTTGATGAGAATGTGTACTCCACAGCCTGCTTCACAAACATCTTCTCGTGCTGAAGGCTGCCATTCAGCACCCCACAGTGGAAGGGCATGTCCTGCTTGTCTTCTAATTCATAAAACACGTGTTCAAATGTGCTGGATGTGTTGAGTGGCTCCATTCCATACCATTTGCCAGCAATGTAGAGGATTCCCCTAAAAAATCATATCAGAATGAAAAATTATTCCATGGTTTTCCCCTCACGGTTATGACCAGGTGAGTGAATGACAGCTGGATGCTTACAAATTAGAACTGTTCACACTGCTGTGTTGAGATAAATTATTATCTTAATTTATCCTAACATGGGGGGTAAGTTCAAATGTCCAACAAAAGACAGAACAGAACTTATTTAAAATACTCAGTTGTACACAAGTGTGGGCTCCTTGAATCAGAGAGAAACTAAAGGAAAAAAAAGAGAAGGGAGGCAAACTGTTACTAAATGAGTCTGGATCATGGGTAAAAAGCTGATGCAAAAGGTCTCTCTTAGTCCTTATCTCTAGTCTCACTCTCAGCCCCATGCAGCTAAAGCAATTTAAGAAAAGATATCTTTTTAAGACAGAAGGAGAGGCTAAAAGCAATCACCAGGGTGTTTATGAGGACAAGAGCAACACTGCACTGCTGTGTGCAGCCAAGTACAAAGATTTTGCATTTGTCCCTGGCTCAGAAACCCCTGGTAAATGCCCATTTGCTGTACAAGAATCTTTCAGAAGCTGTTATCTTGTTCTCCAGAATCTCAAAACTATACTTAGAACAAGAATTCTCTAGTTTAGATCTTGCAAAAGAAGAAATTCAAAAATGTGAGTACAAGGTGAGTCTAAATCTGTAGAACAGTCAAAAAGCAATACTGTTGATATTACTGTTGATAAAGAAAGATCCAGCATTACATGAAATACCAGAACATTGACCTTTTATCCTTCATTTCAAGGAATGCCAGGATATGTCATGATTTATTGTGAGTGATTGTGATAGTATACACAAAAGATACGTGCGTGAGTTTTATCCCACTTGTAATTTTATTGTATTTGAGACACAAAAAATTGTTTCAAATTCAAATTTGGTCAACATTTTTTCATGTAAATGGTTTGTCTTTTGAAGCCTGCCCATTTATAAGACAGAATTGTTTTCAGGAGTGTTTTAAGTGCATCAAAAGCTTAATTAGGCAGCATTTTCCCTACATAAGTATTTCTGGTCAAAATATTCACATCAAGTACTAGAAACCTCAGTTCATGCCCAGGTTCTGCCTATAAAGTAGGTTATGGTTTCTGTCACGTTTCATTTTTTTTTCTGTGAAGGAATTTTAGAAAAGAGGAAAAAAAGTGGGAGCTGAGGGAAACTATAAAACCTGTAAAGAGTTGCAGCTTCATCAGAAGGTGAAAATATTAAAAAAAATATTTGCAAGACAGGATTTTTCCCAGCTGTATGAAGAAAAGCAACTGGGTTTTTTTGCTGTTTTACTTTGGTACTGCACAAGGAATCATCCTGAAAAAGCAAGAGATAATACCTCAGGCCATCACAGGTGCTGAGAGCAACTGTTGAGTCAGCAATTTGTTCAACAATGCCATAATAATAACAGTGTGTCTGAAAGGCAATAAACCCACATAATTAGTGACAAAACAAGGTGGTTACCTTCAACTGCAAACTTATTTTCCAACTAACCATATTATTTGCATGACATTAAGGCTGGCTGTTATAGAGTTCCCTATTTTGAAAATAATCCCAGCCTTCTTGGAATAAAATATCACCTGATGTGTTGGGATTACTTGTTTAACCCATCACCATCTTCTATAAAAATCTTTTAATCTACATTGCTCATCCTGTTCTCAGAGCCCTCTCAAAGGCTGATCTGAGATGATGTCCCCATGCACAAACCACCCAATTAAGTCTCACTGAGCTCACGTGCAGTTTAAAGTTGAAATTAAATTTAGAAGTATTTATAAGGCTCGTTTGATACAGGACCTAAAATTAATAGAGCTTTGATGCTGCCACTGTACCTTTAATTGCATACTATGCAAAAGTGACCTAATCAGGCAGCTCAAATTCAGCCTTGGCATAATCTCCTGGCATTTCCTTTCACACCTTGGGAAATAGGGATGCTATACCACCACAAACAGCCCAATCCCTCATGAACCTTTTGTTTATTATTACTGGTAACTGTTAAACAGAAATGCTACAACTGTGAAAACTCACAAACGCTGCATCCCCAGAAAATATTTTTTTTTCTCGGTTTCCCTGGTTTGAGGAAATTCTGGCACAAAGAGGGGAATTTAATTATGCACAATACCTCATTTTTGAATTGTGTTGCCTCCAGTTTCCCATTTTCCCCATATGTAAACAGCATAAAGTCTTCACTAACAAGCTTTCTGGAAACAAAAATAAACTACTGCTTTTTAAAAGGTCTAGAAAGCAAGAAATAAGTAGAAAATCCTGGCAAATATTACATTCTGTTAGCTTCACACTCATGCTAAATTATTACTAAAATCGAGGCACGTGAAACAAAATACCTTAAAATGAGCCGGAGTCTTTGGAAAATAAGTTATTTTCAAATATTTTAACAAAAAAAAAAATCCACAGAGAAGAATCTAAGCAGATTCATTTGCATAAAGGCCTGGACTACTCCAGGCTCAGGAATGAGGAACGACAGAAACAGAAATTTCTTCAAATACAGCACAGCTAAGAACCCTCCCCCCAGCTAATAAAAAGCTAATGTTGAACAGAACTCTGATTTTCCCTAAGGATTTTCTGAAATGTACAATCTTGTGTTGCTAAATTGCTATTATTTTAAAAAAAAAAATCAAAATAAATTTCTTCACAACTAGAAAAGTTATTATTCCCTTGTATTTGCAAGATAGTACCATAACAGAGACACTCTATTTAACAAAATAATTTTCTAATTACTACAATCTGCCATTTAAATGGTTTCTTCTGAATTTTTTTCAGTATAAAAATGCTTGTGTGGATGCAACTAACCCCAGGATGGTACGATTCCTTAGAACACTATCACATACTTATTTTTCTTCAGTTTTAGGAGATATGTTCCATTTCTGGTTTTCACTGAGTAAGAAAGGTTGTCATCTGAATGCTCCTGAAAACAGAACAAGAGATATCACTTAATTAGGTGATTTTCTCCTTGGTTTTGTCAGATCCATGTTTTGTCCCACTTCTGTGTGTGTGAAATATTTGCCAAAACACAGATTCCAAACCCTCAGCCTTCTCTGTTTTACAGTGTCAGCAGCACACTGGACATTCTTTCCTATGTAAAGTTTAAGTTCTATTAATCTGTACATTTTCCCTCAGAGGACAGGAGGGCACAGCCCATATGTGCACTCTTTGCTAAGCACCACATCATGTTTTGTGACCCTCCTTATGTAAATCAGATAAGCCACTCACAGGATCTTTTATTCCTTAATTGGTTTGCACAAAGATGACTAAGGGTATTTCATTAACATTTACTTCAGTAAATGAACTCAATATCTAGCACAAAGATAAGTTACCTCAGAACTGAAGAATTAAGGCTCAGATCTTTCTCTTTTAACTCATTCCTTTAAACTGTGTGACTCTGTGGGACCATTTTTACCTTTCAGGGTAAAAGTGTTGACTGCATGGTTGAAGTCCTTTGGTTCATCCAAAACCAGAACATGGAAAGCATGAACATTAGTGCAAGTTCAACATCTAATCTGACTCAGAGAAAATGGAAATATTCTTCGTGTTCCTTCTCACTTCTGTCTTACAAGGCTGTTAACAAAACTAGAAGTTTGGATGGCAAATCACAGTGCAATCACAGGAATTTGTGGGAAGAAATTTGCTCAAAACTAGTTGAAAACACTAAGAATCTGAGGCACAATAGTCTGAGGCACATTTCTTCACTACATACTATACATAGTGTGTGTGTAAGATAGGACAGTGTTGGGAAAACAGCAACATCAGAAGAAAAAAATCAGATAGAATCACAGACCTCATGGAAAAATGGGTGATGTTTCTCTCTGCCTGTCAGACTTCGAGGAATGATTATTTCTAATGTAGAAAGTCTGGGTGTCTGTTCAGAAGGTACACCTGAAAATAAAGTTTGGAATTGGTAGATAATCAGGAAGCATAAGGCATTATGTTGGCACCTGCACACTGGGGGTTGCCAAAAGACCATTCTAATCCAGCCAGAAATGGAGAAAGAGTGACTTCACCAGTCTAGGACCTGACTGCCTGTGCTCAGTTTGGTCTGTTTTATCCCTTTCAGAGCTCTTGGATCATGCTGGGAAGTTGAAGAAATCAACCATTTCCATCATGGCCAGGTTATTTTTAATTTTGGCAAATATATTGCCTCATTTTCTGCAGAAATTCTGTTTTGACTGTATTCAAGGGTAATGACTACACCACCCCAAACACAACTGCTGTAAAGTGCTAAAACCTGCAAATTCAAGCCAAAGTTTTTTTAAACAGGGTGTCCAAAACTGGCTGGTAGTCTTGGCTTTGACTCTTGGTTTTAGTTACTTGCATTATGAACTGTGATAATAGCTCAAATTTTCCTTTTCCCTTCATATATTCAACACCAAACCATCCTTTTCCTGTTGCCCTGAATGAGGAATACTTACAGTTGTCCTCTGGATATAATTCTTCCACCTCCTGTGTGTATAGTCTTGGCTCCTTCCATTGCCTAACGCTGCATTTTGTTTGTTCTAGCAGCAGCCAAACCTTTGCAAAAGGTTTGTAGCCTTTTGCATGATATCAGAATTATCTCCAGAACAACATGGTAATGCAGGAAGCTGAAGATAAGAAGCCTGCCAAGTATCTGGTTTCAGGTAAATGGTTAAAGACAAAACCAATCTCCTCTAACTTTCTTTAAAACTGTGTGAACTTGAATTCATCTTCCTTTTTCTTGTCCGCACATCAGTCTGGTTTGATCAACAGAGACACAACCATTGCTTTTAAACAGGTAACAGAATCAACAGTAACATGGGCTTTAACAATGAAAGGGGTTTCTTCCTTCTTAAATTGTTCTTTCATAAGGAAACAGAGAGATTTCTTCACACTTGTAGTAATACAAAGTCGTCCTCATCCTTCCACATTTCTGTGAAAGGAATTCATAATTGCAAAGAAGCCACACAACCACTCATTCAAAGTGAGGAGGAGGATTTTGCAGTGTAATCATGATCTCTACCTGTTAGGTAACATCAGGATTTTTAAAAGCTAGGTGCAGGTAGCATATGTTTAACATTACAGGCTGCCATTGCAATCAAAATGTGGAACTTGCTGTTAGAAAACAGGTCTGAAAAGGGTATCAGCACTCAGTATTTACTTCTGACTTTGCTCTTAATCTTCAATAATTTTATTATCTAAATCACAAAATCCATTCTCTTTCACGAGTATGTTGAACTAACAATGAAGATGCTCTTTTAACAATTTAAATTTTGACACCTGAAAGCAGGAAACCATCTTTAATGCACATCACAAAAATACCACTTTCTAAGAAGTATTTCAGGTGTTACATCTAAATCTAAAGAGCGAAGCCAAATCATAAATGCAAATAAGATAATGGGGAACTGTAATGAAACTTTAGGAATTCCCCTCAGATTACTGAAGAAGAAATCTTTTTCTACAGTCTTTACTATTGATGATAGTGACAGTAACTTCAGTTGTCACAACCTGTGCCCTGCACGGAAGAGGATATATTTACATACCTACTACATCCTGGAGGGAAAAACCCACAAAGAGCTCAGCAGTGAACCTGTAAATAACCCTGTAAATTCAACCTGTAATCTTTTCCAGACACTTTTTTCCTCGAACAAGATTTTCTCAATGAGCTGGTGCCGTGACTTGATGTGAAAGGGGAGCATTGTTATGATCAGGATCAGGGAGTACAAGAAGAAACTTTCTGAATATTTAAAAACGAAAGAAGGCTTACCTTTTATCCAAAAAGGTTTTCCAGTAAAAGTTAGTCCAAAAGTGAACCAAAATAGGCAGTGCTTTAACATGACTAGACTTCCCGGAGAAACCACTCCAGTATCCCAGCAGACAGAGTGTGCTGCTCTGCACGGAACCAGAAGAACAAGAACCGTCTGCTCCGAAGGTAAACAACAGAAAAAGCACCCTGATACTGCATCTCTGCTAAGGGAACGGGAAGTAAAATTTAATCCACTGGGCTTGCGAGAAAACTGGTCAGACAGCTTAATGCAAATAAAAAGCAGCACATTCTTAAATGCTGATTGGAGAAAGAGCACCGAGCCGTGCCGGGAGCAAACTGGTTTATTCTAAAGGACTTTCATACCACCGTGAGACCTTAGGAGATTAGAAACATAAAATATTGCTAGTAAGAAATACAGTGTTTAGGATGTTTACCGTAGCTATTCCAGCTCAGCAAAAATACTCCAGTGTGAAACAATCTACTCTTTGAAACTTCAGCTTGCTGTTTTCCATTTCTTCATCTTTGCTTTAAAAATATCGAATATACAATGCATATGAACATGTGGAAACCCTATAAACACATGGAAAACCCACAAACACGTGGAAACCCCCAAAACAGGTATTTTACCCAGTCCCTCCTACATTAAATGCAATTCTCCTCACTAAAAGACTATAATTTTGTGCAGATCATTGCTCTCCCAGAATCAGAATAATCTTCCATGCAACCACATTGTCACCAAAAGCAGAAAATAAATGCTCCTAAAACCCGACAGATTTGCAACGCATTTTGGAACTACCAAGCACATTTAGAAACACAAAAAGGAGACCGAGACAACACAGTTTTTCACGCTAAAACATTTGCATTAATTAATTTTAATTAATTCTTTAATTAAAACAGAGCAAATCCATTTTTCCATTGCTGGTAAATCCCATAAAACAATGGCTTGGGTGACAAAACACAGAGATGCTGGCTGTATTTTTAATTATAGCTTGTGCAAAGCCTGCTCAGGTCCATCTCCCGACAGTCACACACCCAGTGAACGTTCCTGTGCTGAGCCCCGGGTGGAAGCAGAACTCGATACCCGTGTTCCTTGGGTCTGTGTCCGTGCCACAGCTTCAGGAGCAGCTTTCCCTGACTCCACAAGCCGGGATCCTAATGAAAATTAAATGAACCCCATCTTTTATTTATAGCCTCTTTTATTCATAGCCTCTCTCCTGTGTGGTGTGCCATCAGCACACAACTTGGGAGAGAGAATCCAGTAGCTCTGAACTTTGCCATATTAGCAAATTTCACAGAATCACAGAATCAATTTGGTTTGAAAAGATCTCTGAGATCATCAAGTCCAACCTATGACTCAACATCACCCTGTCAACCAGACCGTGGTACCCCATCTGCGGACCATGGGCAGAGGGACCAAATGGAGTTTGTAGCCAGGTGGCTGTCACAGAGTCACGGAATATCCTGAGTTGGGAGGGACCCACAAGGATCATCCAGTCCAACTCCTGGCCCTGCACAGACACCCCAACAATCCCACCCTGTCCCTGAGAGCGTTGTCCAAATGCTCCTTGAGCTCTGTCAGCCTTGGTGCTGTGCCCACTGCCCTGGGGAGCCTGTTCAGTGCCCAACCACCCTCTGGGGGAAGAACCCTTTCCTGATATCCAGATGAAACCTCCCGTGACACAGCTTCAGGGTCGGCCTCTTCTCCCAGGCAACCAGCGACAGGAGGAGAGGACATTGTCTTAACTGCGCCAGGGGAGGTTTAGGTCGGGCATTAGGAGGAATGATCAGGCATTGGAAGGGGCTGCCCGGGGAAGTGTTGGAGTCGCCGTTCCTCGAGGCGTTCAAGGAAAGACTGGACGTGGCTCTCAGTGCCACGGTCTGGCTGACAAGGTGGTGTAGGGGCACATGTCGGACTCGGTGACCTCAGAGGTCTTTTCCAAGCGCGCCATCCCGACATTCCGTGACCCCCGGACAGCCCGGGTGCACCTCCCGGGTACCGCCGCGCCCCAGTGCGCACGCGCGGAGCCCGCTGGCGGCGCAGGCGCGTCCCGGCGGCGGCCGCGCTGAGGGCGGTCGGTGCTCGCTCCTTTCCCGCTGCTCCCGCTGCCCGGGGCGCCGCGATGTCGAGCGGCCGCGCTGCCCCGGAGGAGTCGGAGGAGTCGGAGGAGTCGGAGGAGGGAGCCCCGGGGCCGCGCTGTGTGTCGGCGCGGTGCTCGTGGCCCTGCGCGCCGCCGGGCGGCCTGTCCCGGGCGCTGTGCCTGCGGCGGGGCCCCGCGGACGGCGAGCCCGGGTGAGGGCGGCGGGCGGGCTGAGGGGGCGCCGGGCGGGGCCGGGCGGCGGCGGGGCTGGCGGGACAACGCGTCCGTGTGGTTTCCCCCCGCAGCGGCGAGCCCGTGGTGGTGGAGCGGCGGGAGCGCGGGCAGGAGCCCTGCGAGCTGCGGCTGGAGTGCCGGCCCGGCGCCGGGATGGTGTCCGTGGGGATCCTGAGCCAGGCCCGCAACATGGAGGTGTACGTGGGAGAGGAGTACTGCGGAACCGGCCGGGGACAGAGCCGCGGCCACCGCCGGGACACGGGGTGAGTGCGGGGCGCGGCGGGGCCGGGGGCACTCACGGCCTCCAGGCAGCCTCGTGTTTTGTGTGTGTGTATCTCTGTGAGGGGCTCCTGCCGTGAAAGACCTGATGTCTTTAAAAAAAAAAAATGAGGGAGTTGGGTTTGTTCAGCCTGGAATAGGGAAGGCTTCGGAGTGACCTAATTGTGCCTTCCAGTGCCTGAAAGGAGCCTTCAGGGGAGATGAAGAGAGACTATGAAAGCATGGAGTGACAGGACAAGGGGGAATGGCTTCCCACTGCCAGAACAGGTTTAGATTAGACATGTTCATGTCTAATTTCATGAGGAAGAAATCCTTCCCTGTGAGGGTGGTGAGGCCCTGGCACAGGTTGCCCAGAGAAGCTGTGGCTGCCCCATCCCTGGAAGTGTCCAAGGCCAGGTTGGATGGGGCTTGGAGCAACCTGGGCTAGTGGAAGGTGTCCCTGCCCATGGCAGGGGAGTTGGAACTAGATGGTCTTCAAGGTCTATTCCAACCCGAACCATTCTGTGATTTCAGGATAGATCTCTTGTATCTTTAATAAGTAGTCATCCCACACTTTAAAGGAAAAGAGAGAAAATTAAAGAAGGTTTTGTTTTCTCCTTTGATGCTTCCTTCCATACTTTGCTGGGGGAAATAAAGCAACATTTCTGTTTTGTTTGTAAGCCATTACATGGCACATCTTAATTAGCTAAATAGAAAGCAGAGGACTCAGAGCCTCAGGGAAGGTGTGTGAATAACGCAGTGAGACTCAAAAGCTTCTCTAGGACATAGTGTATGTACACATACAAGTGATTTTTTATGTACATGTTTTGTAAGATTCATTACAAGTTGCATGTAAGCATTAAAACTGCCATTAGAAACTAAAAAACTGCTCAAAACTAGAAACTAAAACTACTATTAGAAACATTAAAACAGCATTAGAAATATGTTGGGTCCGTCTTGTTTCTTACCTAAATATTTACCAATGTAGTGTATTTCTACAAATAACAGTAGTACTTTGTGTATTGATGTCACAGCTCATTTATTTTATTTTTGTAGTGAACCTGAAGAGGTTACTTTATACCACAAGTACCATAAGTTTGAATGCCCTGCGCCCTCCTGTAGAATTAAGGTAAGGAATTAAACACAGTTGTTGTATTTTTCTTGGTATTTTTAATCACTGAATTGACTAAATTGCTTTGCTCTTCATCAAGTTATTGGCTTTATACCCTTCATCACTTCATATAACAACCTAAAAATTTGTTAGTTGGGTACTTTGTCTTGATAGCAGAGTTCTTTTAAATTTGTATCTCAATTTTCATGAGGACTTTATATGATACAGGTAATTTAGTCTTAGAGAAAAAATGTCATAAACCAGATAAACTGCAGATCTGTAATTAGAACTGTTAACTCTGATGTGGTTAAATAAGCTTTTGTAAATCATTTGGCCGCTACTCTTACATGCTTAGGAGATTAAGGCCTGATTTATCTTTGGGGCACTCAGGCACCGGTCATAATTTTTTGGGGAATAATAGCAAGGAGAAATTGGCTGAATTTCCCTGGAAAAGAGTCCAGCATAGTTCTTCCCAAGACTCAAAGGACAGTGCATTGTCCCCTGTGTACAAAGAAACTGAAACTATTTTTTTCCTAACCAAAATATTTTTTTTCTTCTTGCAATAGCTGCTCTCCTTTGGTGAGAAACAAAGAGTACTCATCAGTAAAATAATTATAGAAGTGAAAGCAGTGTCTGCAAAACTAGCAACTGATTTTCCTTCACTAGGCTCAAGCATAGATCTAGACAGAGTGCAAACTATAATGGAATCTATGGGATCTAAGTTGTCTCCAGGTGCTCAGCAGCTCATGGACATGGTCCGATGTCAGCAGAAAGTAAGTCACTGGGCTTTTCTGTAACCATGAACAGTTCTGATCTCAGACCTTTCCAGTTTAAGAATGTTCTAAATTGATTTAGTGAAAAAGATTTTATGGTTTTTTTTTTTTTAACCCACGCTTTCTGCCATTTTGATCTGCCACTCACGTGAGTGCAGTGAGTAAAGATTGTGTACTCCAGGAATGACTGTGCATACACCAAGTCCAGAGTTAATAACTCTTCATTATTATTTTAAACTTCAGTGTCACTGCTTGTCAAGGATGGTGGGCACGTTCCCTGGAATGTTTGGGATGTAGGTAGATGGGCTGGTTTTGACCTTTGCGGTCAGTATGAGTCATTATCACCTTCAACTAAAGGAAACGTGCTCTTACAGAGCATTTATTTGACTTAGATCCTGATCCTCTGGAGTGAACTGTTCCAACAGAATCCTGAATCCATCTGATGTTAAAAATGTTCAGTCCTGGGGACATAGTGTGGTAAAAAGCCAGTAAAGCTCTTTTCTTAGAGAATTACAAGATAATTAACATATCATGTGTACAGGGAAAACATCTTCCTGTGCTTTTCCATAAGAATATCATTCAGAACTACTTTTAAAATCTTTACACCACACTAGTAGAATGCTGAGTTATATCTATTGTTATTACTGTATAATTTCCAGTATATTTTACTACTTTTATTAATTGTATTATTTTTCTTCCCACCAGAACAGTTTACCTCTTGGAGACAAACTTAGTTGGATCTTGGGGAAAAAT